CACGCCTTCAAGATGGCGTGGTAATGTTGTTGTTATTAAATGTTGTTTTTTGGAAATGAGCCTTTATTCTGTCTCGAATGATTGAGCGAACCGCGAACTACGAGAACAACAACAGATTGTTAAAATTTGAATATTCTACAATGTAGAGTTAAATTTAGCACTTGGAGCTCTCGTTCGGAAAAAGCCAATTCGAATTTTATAGTGGGATAAAGAGTTTATAAATTCAGTAAACTCATGCAGTGCCAGTAGGCCTTGTTGCCAGACATCAAAACATCATCACGGTATCGCCACCACAAAGCCGGCTTTATGTGGCCAGAGAACTTAGCCTGAAAATCTATTTCACTCATGGCAAGACCTGCATAGCTGCAGGCGTTCTTAGGGCCCATGGCTGTGCCATGAACCTGTAGAAAGAAGTTTTCTCTGAAAACCGAATGATTGCTCTTCAAACAAATTTTAACCGCTTCTAAAATGCAATTAGGGGATGGAAGCTTATTTTCTCTGGCATTCAGTGAATCACAGGCTTTCTTAACAATCGAAAAATCTTTACTGGAGGAAATAGTGGAGAGAGACTCTTTGAATGTTGCAGAGGTGGAATTATTTAAATCTGTGGACTGCTGGGCTAGAAATGAATGTGAAAAGAAAAACCTGGCACTAGAAGGGTCCGTAGGAGAAGAATCCTCGGAGAAAGGGTTGTTGGAAATATTCATTTCCCGTCAAGAAAGAGAAAGAGTTCGCAGAGGTTGTTCTCGATTGTGAGACGTTGACACTTAAAGAAGTTTACAACATGATGAAGTACTTTAATGGCGTGCTTCCTAAACCATTTGAATTTCTTGAAAGGAAAAGAGGTAATCCACAGTGGGTAAGCAGGATTGCAGCAGTAGGAAAAGGGTGGAAATATCCCCAGCCTGATCGCAACAGCTTTACCATCGTTTTTCCTGATACGAGACCATAGAACTTCAAGCCGTTCGACTATTTGGTAGTGAGAACAATGAATATGATGTAAAACTAGGAGTCCATGATAATGATAATCAGTCTGTAGGCACTGTTAGTGGCACCTTTACATCTATACCTATGCAGAGCGACGTAGGAGACTATCACGGCTTCGACGTAAGATTTGAGCCTGCGCTTATTGTGCAAGGCAATGATAAGTACAGCTTCCAAGTTGACATTAAAGGTCCACCATCCTGGTATGGAAAAGGTGGAGTGTCCTACATAGAACAGCTGGCCTTACTTTTTCATTCTCAAAATCTCTTAGTTTTTCACCGCTAAGTTGTGATTTTGCTAAAGGACAATTTGCTGGGTTTGCGTTTAAATTAAAGTAAATTGTACACGTTGAAGTTGCATCGTGTGCAAGCTTGTATTTGTTTTATCATACAAATCAGACATGAGAAAACATGCTGTGAATGAGCAGAGTTAACAAGAACTATAAATCATAGCAGATGTCATCCTTATACCGCAACTATGATTACCTTGTAAGAGAGCAAACAATTTGTCAGTGTTCATTTGAAAATGAAGAATAAAGTTGAAATCGGTAGTGATAAGTTACTAGCTATTGTTATGCTTCAACTCTGAAATATTCTGCCTTCCCAACACGTATTTTGCTTATTGTAAGATACAGCAAGGGGTGAGTGGGGGGGAGGGGGGGGAGGGATTGGGGATCCAGAACAATCCAGACAAATGTGTATCTTGAAATATCTTTTTTAAGTGCCAAACACTCTAGTGATCACCAGGAATACTAGATAAGTCATATTTCTTAGGATAGAAATCTTTTTTTGTAAAGACGACAACAGCACGAAAACAGTTTAGAGAGGAATAGGCCTCTAAGAATGCAATTTGCAAGCGTGATAATTGAATGCATTTATTCCACAGTCTTTTTTCTACCAATTTGCCATGACGATTTCAAAGTACCGCGTATTATTACCCGGAAAGTACATTGGGAATTTGATAACAAAAACTGCCCTGTGAAGCCCAAAGAAAAATTGTCATGAATAATACTTTGATTCATCTATTTTCTTTTTAGCCAGATTTATTTTTGGAAGTGAAAAACGAATGCTCTGAAAGTGAAATGTTAGAGTTTTAACTGAAACCTGACCTATATCCGACGCTGTATCGATTTTAGAGAATAGTTGTACCTACTGCAAACGACGAGGGTTGTTGTGCTTCTGGAGACAGTCTGATAGCAAAGTATATGGTTTTTTGACCGTAATCGTACATGTGTCTATTCTATATGACGTATCTAACCGGGTGAATGGAAGCTGGTCAATGCAAGCAGACAGTATTAGTCATCCTCTGTAACTTTCAGGGCTGCCATTACGCTATAAATTAAAGCAAAGTGACTGATTAACACGTGACTACATTTGAATTCTCTCAGAAAGTATGTCTCTGACCGTCGTCAGTCAAGACTATTGGAGTGAGATGGAAAGGCGCACAATCCGGCGGGGAAAGATGTAAGTTTATGTTCAACAACGAGTTCTTGAGCGATATGTGAAGTTTGTTGTGGGAGACGCCAAGACCCGGCCTGAAGTATGAAGAAGATTCCACCTCAAAAGTTCGTGTTAGCGATCACCAACCCAATATTTTACGCCCTGTTCAACGGTGAACTAGCAGAGAGGAAAGATTCCATCAGCATCTCTGACTGCGAATATCAAAGCATGATGGAACTTACGCTTCATTTACAGCCCTGAGGTGAATTTGAACTCCGACAATGTTATGCAGGTGTTGTATTTGGCGAAAAAAAATATATGCTTCCTTGTCTTGTTGACAAGTGCGCAGAGTACCTGGGAGAGAATTTGGATGCATCAAACGTGTTTCATGTCCTGCTAGGAACACAGAAATATGAAGAGAAATATCTGATAGACAAGTGCTGGAAAGTGATCGTAACAACCGAGAAATCTTTGCTGGAAGAATTAGTGGAGAGAGACTCTTTGAATATTACAGAAGCGGAGTTATTTAAAGCTGTGGACTTTGGGTTGGACATGAATGTGAAAAGAAAAACCTGGCACTAGAAGGGACCGAGAAGAGAAAAATACGTGGAGAAAGGATTGTTGCAAATATTCGTTTCCCGGTCATGGAAGAGAAAGTTCGTAGAGGTTGTTCTTGACTGCAAGATATTGACACCTAATGAAGCGTACAACATGATGAAGTACTTTAATGGCGTGTTTCCTAAGCCTGTTGAATTTCTTGAAACGAAAAGAGGTGGGCCACAATGGATGAGCAGGTGGGAATATCCCAAGCGAGATTCTTTCGTCAACTGCATCCCTAATTAAATTACAGGTACTCTTTCGGTTAACAAGTTAATAGAACTTCACGCCGTTCGACTATTTGGTAATGAGGACAAAGAATATGATGTAGAACTAACAGTTTGTGATAGCTGTGGTTGGAATGTGACCGCTGGGAGGGCACCTTTTCATCTATACCTATGCAGAGCGACGTGGGCAACGTCAACTTTGACGTAATACTTGAGCCTGCACTTACTGTGCGAGCAAATACAAATTATACCTTCACAGCCGATTTTAAGAGTTCACCATCCTGGTATGGAAAAGGTGGAAAGTTTGACAAAGAACGTACCCGCCATACTTCCTCATTTTAAACTGATCCACTAATACTTTTTTTACGAGAACGCAGTGATGTTGCTGAAAGGCAATTTGCTGAGTTTTTGTATAAATTAAAGTAAATTGCACACGTTGCATTGTCTGCCAGCCTTTATTTCGTATTATCATACAAATCAGATCCGAGAAAACATGCTGTGAATGAGCACAGTTAAAAAAACCTACGAATTGTATGGACATGTTGCTTATAGTATGTTACGGGGGGTGGGGTCTAAAAATCTTCTTATGAAGTCTTAAACAATCTAGCGATAATAAGGACTACTAGATAAGTCGTAACCTTAGGAGAGAAATCATTTTTGTAAAGACGACAACAACATGAAAACAAACTTAGAGAGGAACAAGCCACTGGAAAATGCAATTTTCTATTGTTATAAATGATCGCATATATCTTGCAGCTTTTTTTATCGCTTTTGCATTAACGATTTCAAAATACCGCGTATTTTATTTCATCTGGAAAGTACATTTGGGATGTTGATAAGAAATACTGCCCAGTGAATCCCAAAGAAAAATTGCGGAGTTGTCATGAATAATACTTTGATCAATCTATTTTCTTTCAGTTTATATCTTCAGAAGCGACGAACGAATACTCTGATACTGAAACGTAAGATGTTGGATTTTGATGGGTAGAAATCGAATTGTGACAAAATCAATTTGCAATGCAACCAACATGAGTAAATAAATGATTTATTCTCAATCGTGCGACAGGTGCGAACTATCGATTTACTCGATCAGTTTACGTACGACTCATTAACGCGGTCGCTTTTGCGCCCTCACTACTCTCGTCTGAGAACCTGCCCCATTCCTTAGTCCTGCAAACTATTGTTTTTTTTGTTTATTTTGATAGAGCTGTAGTTATGGTATTACAATAGGTTGTTATGTGCGGCAAAAAAATTTTCTAAAAAATTCATGTGTATGATTGCAATAGCAACGAGGTCGATAAAACATCAAAAAGAGTTCAGTTAAATTCTAAAAATACTGGCTTGACAATCATCACTTCGATTAGAAGTGTTCTCTAACATTATCCTTCTTCGACTAAGAAACATGAAACGGATTTTGGGGGGGGGGGATGACAGCTGACACTCTGACACTTATTCAATTCAGAAACGGTGGCAGGAGTCAAGTGTTATCCCTTCAAATCTGTTTCCTGTCTCTTAGTCGAAGAAGGATAATGTTAGAGAACACTTCTATGGAGGATTCTCTTCATAACTTTGTAACTTGCATTTGGTGTGTTTTGTAGTCATTCGTACTACAAATTATTAATTTAACGGGGTTACTTTTTCCCAGTTGTATCTTTGTCTACTAAACAGTTCAGACCCAGCATGCTTTGTCTCCTATAAAGGTCAGTATTTGATGGAAAACATACTTCCATGAGCATGTGGTGTGAATCCAGACTCAAATGAGTCTATACTTCCGGGATGCACATTGAAACTAAAGAATTTCGTGCAAACGACAATGACCATATGCTAGCTTTCGTTTTGCTGTTTTAAACGCCTGCTTAATGTCACTGAATTGTGGGGATACATAAACGGCGCGTGTGACATTTTTTTCATCAAAAGGATCCTCGATGCGAATGTGAGGGCGGGTCCACTTTTTATCAAAAGGCACTCTCCTTGGGCCAGCAAGACGAACAGATAATACTTGGTGCCAATCGAAGTCGCAGTAAAAATTGAAAAATCCTACAAGTAGGTCTCCAAGAGTTTCTGTATTAGTGGAATTATATGAGGTAACAACGGCCGGGAGAGAGTCACTGGTCAGTTTTTCTGCTGTACTGCTGGCGCTTGAAGATGTGGTAAAGTGAGTTGGATTCAAATTCTGTAAGGATGGAAGGACGGGTGGACTACAGCCTCTTTGTAAATAGTAAATCACCAACAGAACTATAGCAAAACCTTTTTGAGAGGAAAAAAAGGACACTAAAATAAGAGATGCACTTTTTAAGAAGCAAATTGGCTTAAATACTCCTGGCTTTTCTTAAAGCAAAGCGCTCTTTCAAAGGACCCCAAATTATTCCTTGCTGAAGTTGCCTCTCAATTAGACTTACCTACATGCCCATTAAGTACGTAGGAAAGGGGGAGTATTGTTATTAACGTATACGTGTTTAAGTGGACTGTAAAGGAAAGTTGTACTGCACTGAACGAAGTGTCAAGAGAAGAATTGTATGAAACATGTTAATGCTTTTCAGCATTTTTTTTCAAATTGTTATGATAAATGAAGACGTATATTTTTGCATTTAGAAGTGAGCGCCAGTGTAGGGCATTAATTACTTTGTGAAAATCCCTTTGTTTTGAGTAATAGCCATACACAAGGTGATGACTTTGTTATCAATGATAACCTAGGCCTTGAGATGGTAAATAAGACTGGTAATAAATATATCTTATTAACCAAGCGCAAGGGCCGTACTGGGCCGAGCGCAGCGAGGTCCGTACAAAAAAGACCGAGAGCCGATATTCTTCCAGTACGGTTCCGAGCAAGCTTGGTTAATAAGAGATTTATTATACGACTGAAGTTCAAAGGGACCCAAGTGCGGTATCATTCGGGACCATTCGGGACAGTGCCCGGTCCAATACTGAGAGAATATTGACTGGCAATAGAGCATTTTGATTGTTGATTTTAGTTATTGGCCCTCTGACTGCCCAAGTCGTGTAATAATATTCATTCATTAAATCAAAAAAAATTTACATCCATTTGTTCCTTCATTATTTTACAAAGAGATAATTTTGTAAGAAAATACACAAGTCATGCAGTACAAAAGCTTTCCAACATACTATGTTATCATAATTTATTACTTGTCTAAGATGTGTTCCATCATACCTTGGTTCTTTGGCTCTCCTTTTTGCCAAATCCTTCAAGTCACCCAAACAAAACTGAACTTCTTTTTTCTTGTAGAGAAGTTTTCTTTGAAGAGGATTTGGTGACATGACTTTGTTTATTAGTGGTTGGTTGGTTATCTAGAAAAGAGATGCTAAAAATTGAATTACAGACCCAAAAAATGAACAGCAACTCAGGCAACTTTATCTGTCTCTAAAAGCTGTGGTATTTTTTTTTGTTTTGTTTTGTTTTTGTTTGTTCTTTTTGGGTGGGGGAGGGGATTAAAACACTTGTCTTCTTCTAACATTAAGGTTGAAAAATAAATGGACTACTTCTAGCAATAAATTTTGAGAAATTGTGATTGATATGTTTCTTAGGATCAAAGAAGCACTTTTTTGATAATCAACTTAGAGTTGATACAGGCACATTGACAATTGTAGGAAATCTTTTCTTTTTTTTGAATAGCTGGTGTTCAAGGCATAAGACTTCCTTCAGAGTAAGTAACAGTAAATAAGTTGACTGTCAGTTGATCAATCCTAAAGAAACTTTATACACAAGTCATGTTATTCAAAACTCGCCACACTCACTTCTGGCATTTTCTTTATCTTCTTGCTAGAAAGAGATAGCCTTGACTTGTCCTTGGACCAAAAGAGAGTAAAAAGGACAAAAATTCAAAACTGAAATGTCATCAAAGAATACATAATGAAAGTGCTTCAAACATTGTCTTAATTTTGTTGTTCAAATTGTTGCTCAGTCTGTTCCGTTCAAAGTCACAAAATTTCACAAGGGTTTCATTGAGGTTTTCAGCAGGGAAACTGGTTTTCACCAGTGGGCAAAACTTTTTGAACTGAACTTTTTTATAAGATAAACTTTCCTCCAGATGGTCAAACCAGGAGGGCAAAACAGTCCTCACAACCGCTCAATTTGCCTCTGGTTTCCCAGCTCTTAATGAAAGCCCTGTCAGTCCACCATTTTCTACGAACCTTTTTGATATTCTTCATGACCTTTAACCATGAAATACATGT